GGGGAATAGGGTGTTAAAATATTTGAATGAAGTTGCTGGGTGGGTGTTGGGCTTTTGTGAGGATGGTGTTGTTGGAGCCTGGTGGCATTGCATTAGAAGCTGGGGAGCTGATATGCTGGTGGTTACCTCAGTACCCTGGCACTTGGGACAGGACAGGCCTGAGATTCCTCAAAATGCAAGCACAGGGTCCAGGCCTAGGGATTGCTGAGTATCTGGGGTTTGCCTGTGATCTGCAAGCAGGCTGCCCCCGAGCTGAGTGGGGCTATGAAGACAGTAATGACTGATGCCTGCTTGTCTGTCCTCTGCAGAAACCCATTGGGGAGCAGTTCCGCAAGGAGGTTCATATCCGGAACCTTCTATCGCTCTTCAAAAAGGTGAAGCCATCATTGGAGACAGATGTGCTAGAAAATGAGGATGGAGAGGGCTTCAATGTACTCTTTGAGCCCTGAGCCTGGGATGCTGCAACCATCTCCTCCCCTACCTTATATTTTGTCTCTCCTCATAGTAAGCACATTAGATTCTCCTTGTCATTACCTCTACAAGCATTCATCTGAATAAAGCCCCTCATGGGTCCTGTCCCATTCTCCATACAATGGGATGGGGCCTGCGGTGGCATTTGAACCAAGTCTATTAAGCTTTTTTCCCTCCGATTCCTTCCCGTCCATTGGATGAGCATCTTTACACCTCTGCTTCTCTGCAAGGTGGGAGCTGAGCCCATAGACTCCATTAGGTAAAACCTGGTCATCTTGTAGCCTTGGGTCACTCTTGCTCCACCTCTTCATCCCTCGGGGTTTAGGATTAATGCAAAAGGCAGACTAGTGTGCCATGTGAAAAGGGGCTACCCTAATCTTCCTCTGGGTGCTAGTAGCCAGGCTTTGTAGGGAGCACATCGGACACTCCTGTCATGCCTATCGGCACGTGTCCCTAGCGGACTGGCATTCTGCTGAATTCATTTCCCTCCAGGATGCTGAGCCTTGGGCTGAGGGCTGTGTGCCAGGAAGCCTAGCAGTGCTCTAGGATCTCCCACGAGATCAGCCTTTCTAAGGTGCAGCTGCTCTCTGGAAAGAGGCAGACACTGTCATACATATATATACACATATATATATGTATAGATACGATCACACAGCTTGTTCTACCCAGAGCCAAATGGAAGGCTTTTACTTTGTGCCAGCCTTTCTTGGACATCTCTCAGGGGGAGCAGGACAGATTTTTTTAAATTTTTTTCCCCATTTTACCATGCCCTGTAGATTAGAACTTGGCCAGTGCAGGATGCGCAAAATCTGGACCAATGCCTGAAGCACCTGCAAACCAAAAGGGATCTCCTCGCCCTGTTGCTGTGGAGGTGACAGTAGCCTGTGTTTTCACCCAGTCTGGTACTTCTCAGAGAATTGCATGGTGGGGCAGGAGGGGTGGGCTTTATGTTACAGGGGGGAGCCAGGTCAGAAACTGGGTTTTAGATGACGTGGGACTCTATGAAGCCACTTCCAGTCTGCAAAGCTGGTTCTTCTTACATGACAAACAGGTCACACAATCTATCCTAGCATTAGCACAGGGGCTGGGAGGGTCTGTCCAGAGCTAGCTGGCAGTTTTGCCATCCAGGAGACAGAAAAAGTAATAAACTGTGGCAGATGGAGAAGTGGTGTCTCCAATTGGACAGACTGGACAGAAAAGCTGGGGTTGGGAGGGCTGGGAGCACAGATAGGAAGAGCAGGCCTTGGGAATCCACTCACCCTCCTGCCCCTGCTGTTCCACCAGCACCTTCCACTTTCCTCCTGGCCTCAAACTTTTTTAACCTCTGAGCTAACATGGCTCCTGGCTCTAGCAAAGGCTGGGTGTATTTATTGTGTCGTGATATTTTTAACATTCTGTGACTTCATGCTAGACACAAGGGGTTTTTTTTAAATGGTTTTTAGAACCTTTTTTGTAGGAATGTTTAAATCCGAAGCTGTCTCTGAACTGGTTGTGTTACACCTCTGAATGTCAGTAAAGCTATTCCAGTTTCATATATGTGGCGTTGTGTTTCATTTTTATTCTTTTATCTGTTCCAATAAGATCTGAGGCCCCTGGTATGCCCTGACTGCCTGCCTAAGGACTGCTCAGCACTCCTTACCAAGATCTGAGGCCCCTGGTATGCCCTAACTGCCTGCCTAAGGATTGCTCAGCATTCCTTATTCCAGCTACCAAAAAGGAAGCTCCGTTGACTACCCATTATCAAGGAGGAGATGAAGCATTCCAGACTACATAGTTAAATCAGGTGGTGAGGGGAAAATTGCATTTTTGAAGTATTTACACATCACTCACAACTACTTTATGTTAATTCTAGGTCCTAGTTTACAGCTTGAGGGGTACATGTTGCCAAGGCTAAACCCTGAGGCATGGCTATTCCAGGGATGTCCCATAAGCAGTAGGGGAAATATATGAAGCAAAGCCTGCAAGCCTGACTCCAGCTATTGCTGGGAGGAGCATGATCTTGGGCAATCTCAGTATCTTGGGTATCTATATAGCAATGGCTTGTGATATACATACCCAGCACATGCATGGCTCTGCAACACAGTATAGTGACATGGGACAGGTTGGGATTTGAGCCAGGGTGCCAAGTGTACCTCTCCCTACAACACGTCCCCTTCACCCTAACACCTGTAAGGATGCTTACAGTATAAGTAACTATATCCCACCAAAACAAGGAGACAAAACGTATTACTTGCTACACTAAATCCTAGCAGTATAGCCAGAATTGAGACACCAGTGCTCCCAGATATTTTCTGAAGTTCCAATTCCTTCACCAGCTTGTCAAAAGACTTTCACAAGCCAAGACCTATCTGGTGCTGACTAACAGTAGTGTTCATCACTGGGACTATTGTGCCAGTTCTCCCAGGCTTCCCTGGGCCAGGCCTTTGACTGTCACTTGCCCTCCATCATTCAGTTCTGCTTCAAGGTCAGCCCGAAGTACAGTCACTGAAGGGTGAAGACAGTAGTCAAGTCTAACACATGAGATGAAATGCCTTACCTTGAGATATTTAAGAATGGACAGTCAGTCCTTACAGAACATGTTTTTAAATCCCTCCTTTGCAAAAAGAAGCCCAGTGCTGTATCACAGAGTCAGACTCTTCTGGCTGGAAAGGGCCATTAAAGATCACCTAGTTTCAACCCTTCTGCCATGGTCAGAACACATTCCAGGTTGCTCCAAGCCCCACCCAAACTGGCCTTGAACACTGCCAGGGATGGGGTATCCACAGCTGCTCTGGACAATGTGTCTGACAACTCACCCCCACCTTCATTGTAAAAAATGTCTCATGTTCAGTTTAAGTCTGCCCTCTTCCAGTTCAAAGCTTGCCCCTTAGCCTGTCACTAGAGACTCTAGTGACAAGTCCTTCTCCACCTTGTCTTGGCCCCCTTTACATACTGAAAGGCCACAATAAGGTCTCCCTGGAGCTACCTGTTCTCCAGGATGAGCAACTCCCTCAGTTTTTCTACATAAGAGAGGTGCTTCAGCCCTCTTGACAGTACACCCTTTTCTCTACCATATTACCTATCCCCAAGCTGGTCTAAGAGGCCTGCAAACAGCCCTGCACCGATACCAACTTGGTAAATTTCACTGACCTGCTGTGAAGTGCTTTACTACACTGCCATATCAGTCCTCTTCATGTACTGCAATCTCAAATAAATGTTGTTATCCATCTTTAGATCTGCTGCCACTTTTTGTCTCCATGAATTATGGTCTCACACTTGTGAATGGCACAGAAGGAGACAACTGTAAAAAAGGCTTTTATTTTAGTTCATCTCCTCACTGAGGCTCATTACCAAACAGAAGACAAATCCAAAGAGATGGTCCTAGGACTCTTAGCAAGCCCATCTCAAAGCTCTTGCGTATGGAAGAGAAATCTCCCCTACAGCCAGATGCAGGAAGTCCAGAACAGCAATGCAGGGATATGCTTCCCAGCTACAGTCTGGTCACTCCATAGGCACAGAGTCCAGCTCATTTAGGAAGCGCTGACACTTTCCCATCAGGATCTTGATGGCTTCGCTCACCAGCACATCTGGAGGCAAGATACCCGTCGACTCCACTGAAACTGCACAGAGACACAAGTCAGCACAGCCATGAGGCAGCTTTAGCCTGCACCTGGCTCCAGCATTTCTGTCCCTGGCCTTCCCTTACACCATGCTTCTTCACAGCCAGACAAGCTGCCAGCAGCAAGCACAAACAGATCAATCCCAAACCACAACCTCAGTACCCACTGGAATACGAATGTAGGGATGCTGATGATGGGATCAGGGAGGGGAAAGCAGAGAGTCAGCTACTTCTGCTGGCCAGCCAGTCTCTGCTCGTTGACACAAACCATGGCAGGGCTCTGTGGAAAACAGGGAACTTACAGATGTAATGGTTCCGTACTCTTGCCAGGCGCACGAGGTTTTTCAGACCCTCGTGACGGAAAACTTCTCTGCTGAACGTGTCCAACCGTGCATTGGCTACCCTTGCCACCTTTTTTCCTAGCCAGAAAAAGATGACATGGGCAAATGGTAGCAATGGGTGTCTCGTGGTCACAGCAGGTGCTTACTCCTCAAACAGACACTCCCCCATCAGCAAAGGCAGCAATGTATCTCAGGTATACATCTATGTACGTAAACATCTACAAAGAATTAGCATATACCCAACATGAAACTCCAACCTGGCAGAACTAACCCAAACACAAAGCCTGCACGTACCCCTGGGCAGGACACAAGAAGTCTTCTCCACACTCAGCTGCTGCAAAGACCAAGCTCACTACCCAGCCTTACAAGTGAACAGCACTGGAAGCCTCAGTCGGCAGCTGCAGAGGTCTGCAGACAATGCCTTAGCATTTTGGGGAGATCTCAGTTCAACCCCTAACACATCTGCATGTGGGAGCCACTCATCCATAAAAACAGGCTCAGAAGAGCATGAACAGTTGCTAATTAGCAAGGCAACATCACAACGGGGTTTTGTCTCTACATGGTTGGGCTCTAATCTTGAATCAGTCTCTACTAAGGCTTGTAAGGAACAGGGCACTTAGAGCAGAAAAAAGTACCCTTGATATTCTGGATCTCGATGACTCCAGGGGAAAAGCACTTCTGCAATGTCTCAGCTGCCTCATCCTCAATAGGCTGCAGGAGAGTAATGTCAGGAAGCAGTCGATAACTAGCCGTGGCCACAGGAGAAAACTTGGCATGATCTTTACCTGCATGAAGAATTAAGAGTCAAGGACGAGGGCAGGCCTCAAGGAGCAAGAGCACCAGGACCTAAAGTTCCAGGGGGAAAACTGGTTCTCCACCTTTCCTCCTCACACAGCAGTGCCCTAGTACAAGCACTCACATCCCTCCTCCCACTGCCCTAGGACCCACAACTCACCTATACCCTTGACACAGTGCATAAGCACATCTATTTCCTGTCCAGGCCGCAACAGTGCAATGAGGATATCATCGTGAACAGGTCGGAAGTCAGCATCTGGAAAAAGGTCTGTCTGATTCCCCAAGGGCACCCATGTCATATGTTTACTGTACACTGCAAAGAGAAGTCACAAACATCAGCCAGCTGCTGTCTCAAAGCAGGTCACTGACCTGTACAAGACTGGAGATGGCAAAAAGCAAGCCTAGCAGAATGAAGGAATCAGCTGTCTCTGCTCACAGGGCTGAGAGAACAGCCCAAATCCTGTCTTCCAAGTCCAGGAAAAAAACCAAAAAAAAAACCTCAGCACCTATTTGTATGAGAGAGCTCACCTTTGTGATTGAAATATAGTTCATTAGGATCAGATGATTCCTTGGCAGCCTGAGGGTTTCGGCTGCATTTTATTTTCAGTTGAAACTGCAGAGTATCGATTTCTGTGCCTTCTTGATCTCCTGGGAAGGAAAGAACTGCATGAGCTTCTATGAAATCACACTTATGCTCTGTTTACATGACCCTGATTTCCTACTTTCAGGGAAGCCTTCAATACTTATATTTGATCTGAGACTCTCACCTTGGTTTCTATACTCAAAGAGTCGAGGGTCAGCTCGGATAGGGATGAGGCCCAAGCGATGGGCCAGAATTTCATCCTGCACAATGGATGTGTTGTTGTACACAAAGACCTTCTCTACAGCCATTGTTGGCACCTCAGGGAGACAAGAGACCAAATCAGCAGCATAAGATGATAGTTGAGCTACATGCCAACAGATTGTCCAGCTAGTGTCCCTTCTCTCCCATAAATAACTGCCATGCAGACTATTTCCAGTGGTATTTCTGTCAAAACCAGGCTACCCAATATATCCTTACACCCAGCGTGTAAGGGCAATGAGGCTCTTAAGAGGTCTAGAACACATGTCATATGAGGACGGGCTGAGGGAATTGTGTTTGTTTAGCCTTGAGAAAAGGCGTCTCAGGGGTGACATTGCTCTCTACAAGTACCTGAAAAGAGGTTGTAGAGAGGTGAGGAATGGTCTCTCCTGCCATGGCTGCAGTGAGAGGACTAGAGGGAACTGCCATAAAATGAAACAGGGGAAGATTCAGATTGGATGCAAGAAGAAAAAAATTCACTATTAGGGTGGTGAGGCACTGGAATAGATTGCCCAGGGATGTGGTGGAGTCACCTACAAGCATTTAAGAGACATCTGGATCTGGCACCAAAAGATATGGTTTAGGGTTCAAGGGTTACAGCAGAGTATTAATGGCTGGACTTGGCGATTTTAAAGGTTTCTTCCAATCTTGACCATTCTATGATTCTACCCGTTTTACCCGTTTTTCCCCCAAGCAGTCGATCACAAGACGCGCAGGGCAGACTGACCCGCGGCCACTGCCGACAGCACCCCTAGGAGCGACAGGCAGCGTTCCGGGAACACGTGTAGGACGGATCCGTGCT